GGCAAATTCACAAACAACGCCATGGTGAGAACTGTTAGAAAATGACAAAATTCTACAGGAACTGCATCACAAGATCACGGTTTTGACATTGTGACGTTTGTAATGTATGGAAAGAGATGTATAGTTTTCTTTACATGATGTGCATATACCACCTAGMAAACAGAACTCTAAAATGGGCTACTTGGGCATATTTGGGGGCTTTAACTGTAGCTCAGTCAGACAGAGAGAAAGTTGGCAATCCTCTTTAAGACAGACTGACTGGCAGAAGTACAAGAGGAAGGCACTTTTCCTTTCACAAAGAACTACTGAAGACAAATCCACCTTTTAGAGAGGGCAGAATTCAYATTTTGCTTACTATTTGAGTCCTCATGAAATCAGCTCTGACACAGCCTAATATTACAACAGTTACAACAGGTTAGTTGTGTTTTATTGGTTTTTGAGGGCTGTTTTTGAGTTCTTTAGCAATTATTTGAGCTGTCTTTGATTTATTTAGCCTGGGTATCCACATTTGCAAAAACAACTGTTTCTGCATACATAGATGGAGTCTACAAATGGGTAAAGGAGAGAGGAGACCACAAAACAATTCAGCACCAAGGACCAACAAYTTTTCACATGAGACCTGTATAAACTGTACCCAGGATAAATCACCAGCCAGGCACAATTGTCTCATCTCTCACCTCCCAGGATGACAGTAATCCCAAAACTAATGGCCCAACACAGTCTTCTTGTCCCATTGCCCCAACACACCAAGACAAGGGAAGCCCAACTAACTATACTGTTTATTCACGTTCCATCAATGTGTCAAGGTCAGAAAACMTAGAAAATAAAGTTTTCTCTGCTCAATTTTATTTTAGAATCTTATGCTGAACTTCTGTGCATAAATTTGCTGTGAGACTGTAAAGCTAGAAACAAAAGGGGCATTGCTCACCCCATGTGCTTCTGGAGCTGGTAACTCTGAGTGGCACTTGGCACTGGGATTTTATTCTTTCAGTAGGATACGGCTGGCCTTGTCATCACAGAAGCCAGGCAARTATTTTCCAGTTAAAGCATCATTTTAGAAACGATGATTGAGACAATTACTCTGCTAGAAACCAGACTAGGTTTCGTAGTGACACAGTGAAATCCAGTGATAACACAGCAGTCCAGTTTAGACCACTGGTGGGCTCTTTGACTCAGCCTTTTCCTCATATTCCCTCTTCTACCATCATGTCACTGATAACCCTGTTGGTACAGACAAGGCTCTAGGCAAAGGCAGCATCCCGGTGCCATGTGAGCAATTCCTGCTGAAGACATTTCTGCACAGCACACTACTAAAAGAGCAAGAGAACGCTGGTATTTTGCCTACAGCTGGTACTTTGATTTTGTGACTGCTACTAGCAGTATATGGCTTCATAAAAATTATTTCTGACCTAATGTGCATGTTGTCTCAATTTCTCACTTGCCCTGAGCAGAAGCTCAGAATGAAATCAGTTTAATAGAATAATTTTACTGCGTGTAGATTTTGTCACAAGTATTGCTTACAGGATTACAAAATTCACTCTCTTCAAAGCACAGCTGGGATCTAAATTAAGCCTAGAGAAAATAGCTAGAACTCTGCCAGCCTACAAAGTGATGGTATTATTCTCTTATATTGGGCTTCACTGACASACAGTTTTACCCAATGGGCACTAGAAACCAGTACAGAGTTTGTGAGACTTTACTGTTTCATAATAAAATTTATTACTTCTATTTCTTATTTTCCCAAAGAAGAAAYCAAGATGAGAACAGGAAAATGTAAGACAGAGAATTCTTCAGAAACCATGTTTGTATTGTGATAKAAGGAATATAAGAATATTCAAATATAGAACTCTGATTTCACTTCTATTTCTGGAATTACATTATAGCATTCCTAGCACCAAGTGTTCAGAAAATGAAAATAGGAATGTGAATGCTAAAGTCTCAAAAATACAATTCCTTCTGCAAAGGTGAAAAAAATAGCATTACACTCTTTTGTTGTAGTATGACTTTCAGAGTGAATRCTTTATGGAAAACAGTGTCAATTCAACAAAATTTGAAATGATGTCTAAYACACATAGATATGAAACACAGAGGCAGTAACAGTTATAAAAGAAACAACTTCTTTAAAACATTCTTATTCACTCTGGCAACTTTTTTCCCACATATATTTGCATGAAATCCATAATTTAGATGAAGAAACTTCTTCCCTCACACGATCCTTTCCCTGTTCTGCTCTTTGTAGTACCTTCCAATCTAAGACACAATCACATCCACTCAATGCCCTCTAGCAGTTTCACAAACTTACTGCTTTGTGTCACTCTTCTTGCCTTATCTCTACACGTATTTAGGGTGTAGACACAATCTCACAATCTAAAGGCAAGGAAGAGTAAGGGGGAGGACAAAGCGTAGCTGCAGTTCATCTATACTTTGGACTAAAAGGTGCAGGAACCATGTTTTCCTAGATAGGCAAAACTTAGTGAAAATATGGTAAAATATGCCAMATAATGGCACACTACACTTGCAAAGGCAAGTGCCCAAGAGACAACAAATACCAAAAATAATGTAAGCCACATAACCTTAATCCAGGACCCATGTTGTGGTAGCATTATCAGTCTACAAGACACAATAATATCCTTTTAAAATCATCATGCCTTGCTCAGTGGACAAACCAGCTGGGCTCATTGAAAAGCAATCATTCAATATCTCTGTTGTTCACTGATCCAGGCCTCCTCTCCCGCAYGCTTTTCTAATCCTGTTCTGAAAGCAGAAAATCCCAACAGGAAACAACTATTTTGATCATATCTTTGCCACAGTATTCAGGTAATCTCACAAGCATTTATTTGTATTTGTTGCACAAAAGCTACTATGCAGTGAAGGTTTTGGAAGCACAATACAAGGTAAAGAATGAGTGAGTATTAATTTGAAGCTCTCATAACTTGCTCGGCTGCTGAGTTTTAAAGTACCCTATGCATCTGACATGATTTTAATATTCAAATTGTAGTTTCCAGCTGGCAGTAGTAGGAGAAGGAGCACCTCTGAATTTATGCAAAACAACTCACAGACATGGGAAGAGCTGTTACTGCCACCTATGAAAAGCTGGGTTTAAGTGATTTGCCCATTGTCACACACTACCATGTGGCAGTGGCAGGGATATAAATTCACTCTCTTRAAGATGCTGTAAACACACTTCCATTTTACCACCTGCATTCCCCATCCCACTTCCTCATTCGTGTAGACAACCTTTTTTTTTTTCCAGTACAGAAATGTTGCTTAGGCAGATTTTCAAAGTATTTCTATAGTTGGCCAGAATTTCTAAATACACAGCAGAATAGCTCTGGCCAAATAGCTGCATGGGCAGTAATCCTTAGCATGTTCTGCACCTAAATACAGYCTTACCATGTGGTTGTGACACAGGTACTGTGTTCCAGCTGAGCAGATAAAACAACCCAGCCTTGCTGGATTTCCTGTGAGCTAGCACACATTGCTTCCTGCAGAATCCAGGACAGAGAAGCCCACCAGGAAAGAATTCTTTTAAATCAGATAATCTCAAGCATTTATTTGCATTTATTTTACAAAATCGATTATGTGGTGCTGGTTTTGTGATGCACAATACAGAGTAATGAATGAGTGAGTATTAATTTGACTTACTTTTAAGAGTTTTACTTACAACACATGGGGAGGTCTTCACCTCCYATGCTATGTGATAATTCACCCCAAAGCCTGGTTTTCTCTACCTTTACTTGCAGAGAGCCTCATCAAGRTCCTGGAGCCTAGAAATGTACAAAGACCCCAAAAACTAYYMATGACTTCATCARTCACAGAATGGTTCAGGCTGGAAGGGACCACCATGGGTCATCTGGTTCAATCTCACCGCTCAAGCACGGTCATTGCAGAGCACATGGCACAGGATTGTGTCCAGATGGTTCTGAAAYAGACCCCGTGAGGGAGACTCCACACCCTCTCTGGACAATCAGTTCCAGTGGTCTCTGCACAGGAAAGAAATTCTTCCTGATATTTAGGTGGAATTTCCTGGACATCAGTGTCTGTTCCCCTTGTCCCATTGCTGGGCACCACCTGGTCCATGCTCTGACCCCTCCCTGCACACACAGACAGGGATGAGGGCCCCTCTCAGCCGTCTCTTCTCGAGGCTGAACAGGCCCAGCTCCCTCAGCCTTACCTCACAAAGATGCTCCTGTCCCTCAATTATCTTTGTCACTCTGTGCTGGACCCACTCCAGGAGATCCACGTCTCTCCTGTGCTGAGGAGCCCAGAATTGGACACAGCACTCCAGGTGATCTGAACCAGAACGCCTCCCTTGATTGTGATGATCATGGCATATTACAGGAATATCAAACATACACTGAACAATGCGCACCACCTGCCTGTTCCTATTACAGGGACAGCTGAAGCGAGATGAGCATGGCTGGGACAGGCAGTGCATGTGTTACTGTGGAGGTTCTCAACAAACTTTTAAGGAAGAGAGCACTGAAGGCAGGGTTTCAGGGACAAGGACGTGGACAGGACAGGCACCGCGTCAGCCCCTCACGGCCTCACGGCCTCACAGCCCGAGACCCCCTCGCCACACGGGTGCTGAGAGGGTGGAGCCACAGCCTTGCTCTCTGAATGGTGCGTTCAACTGTCAATCACAGCGTCGCCCCGCCCYASCCYTATCRGACWGAGCRGKGTGGGCGGGGCAAAGCCCGATCYCTCCCGCTCCGATTGGCTGAATCAGCTGCCAACTGGCTCCGCCTCCTCGCCGCTTCCTTCTGAGTTTACAGTGCGGGGAGGAAAATGGTGCAGAGAYCTCTCGCGATCTGATTGGCCAARTGGGAATGCCACTCAAGTGCAGACTCCGCCTCCCGGGACAGCTGATCGCTCAGCCCCGTGACAGGGCCGGGCTGCGCTGCGCCTTCGATTGGTCAGATCTGCTGGGTCCCGCCTTCCTGGCTGAATACCACCCGCGGATTGGCTGCGACGGCCGTCCGTCAGCGCGGTGGGCGGGGCGGCCGGGTGTCTGTCCGGCGGCTCGGCCCGGCGGCAGCTCATGGCGGACATGGGGCGGCGCGGCGGGGCCGGCCCGGCCCTGGGGCTGGCGGCGCTGGTGGCAGCGGCCTGTGTCGCTGGTGGGTGAGCGGGGACGGGCCGGCGCAGGGGAGAGACGAGGGGAGCGGAGAGGGCCGCTGCAGGGGGAGACTGTGGGAAAGGGGCCGGGCTGCAGCGCTGGGGAAGGGGCACGGGGACGGGGAGTGAGGGGGGAAGGTGAGGGGGGCTGTGTGTGTCTGTGTGTGTCTGTGTGTGCCAGGTTCAGGACCGAGGGCTGGCAGCGGGGGCTGTCATCGTGCTGCAGCTCCCTGCCCCACCCCCCTTCTCCCATCCACCTCCAGAGACGGTGCTCGAACCCGTTTATCCTSTGCCTTTCAATCCAAGGACTGTTTTATATTAAATTATAATTGCTGTAACTTTATTGTGTAAATTCGTTTTATAAAATTATTTTTATAATTATATCACAAAATTATGTAAATTTAGATAATATATTGTATATTTTCTATAGTGCACATATATAGTTATATATAATATGTTATTTTATTCAGTTCCTTTATTTATTTATAATTATATTCAAATCCAGTTTTAGATGCTGACATAGAGGGATTCAGATCAGCTGTTAAAAAAAAATTCACTGCCAGGATGAGGCATTGGAATAGGTTGCCGAGGGAGGTGATGGAGTCACCATCCCTGGAGGTGTTTAAGAGGTGTCTGGGTCTGGCACTGGGTGATCTGGTTTAGGGGTTACAGTGGCAGTTCTGGGTTGATATTTAGACTTAGTGATCTTAGAGGTCTCTTCCAACTTTGATGATTCTGTGATAGACACACATAATTTTGTTACTTTGTCCAAATTTTCATGTTTTGCTGAGCTGTTTCTGTGGTCAGTGTAGCCTCTCTGTTACCTACCTGATGCGATTCAGGCTTGCAGTGGCACTTTCAGGCCCTGTGAATAGTTCTCACTCAATATTCCTTAATTCTGCGGGTTCACAAWGGCTTTTGAGAGCCTGAGGTACAACTTAAGAGGGAYAGGAATTCAGTTAAGTGTTCCAYAGGCAATYAGAGGGAATTTGGTGTTCYCCCCAACTTCAAATTCAGTGTTAATCGTTGAAATCTTGAACAAGTCTAGTGAGGGAAATTTAGTTGTAAATGCTCTKATTTTGCCCACCTGAGCACTCTTTCCCTGAGTAAGCCAGTTGTCCAAAATAACATGTGTGACTGTGTAACAGCCTTGTGGAGAGCAGCATGTGAAATCCTGTGCATTTGTATCCATTTTGTAAATTCTTACTTAAAGTTGGTCTAGAAACATTTTTGTTATTCAAAATGTGTGTTGATCCACCATTAAAATTAGTAGCAGGCCACCCAAGGAATGCATCAATCTAAATAAAACATCTTGAATCTGCTCCATGAATATCAGTTGGTTTGGCCTCTTCCCTTCCTTTTTTTCCCTTCCACAACCTGCATCTCAGCACTTTGTCCTTTGGCATGTTTATCATAACRTAGCTCAGATTTACTGTCAACTTTTGTAATGTGTGGTCATGACCCAGGCTTTGGAACAGCATCTTCAAGGTCACATTAGTTAAATTAACATTAGGGAAGTTTTTAGCTGTGCAACACATTAGTTTRCTATTGCTTTGTTTTTGTAAATAGCCTTTAGTATATGCCCTGGAAAACTATTGTGTATTGCTACTTGAATTGATAACCAATTTTCAGTAATCATATGAATAAATACTTTTATTTTCTTTAGACAGTTACCTTATTGATGGAATTTTGAAGTGCAGTCACTCGTATAATTAGAACTTTAACTTAGAGGCCTGCAAATAGTTCTTACTCTATTACTTGACTTTCTTGTRTCAAATCAGTTTTTTGGTGGAAACCTACTCTGATGGCTCTTTGGGGAGTATATACCTGAAATTTTGCATCATGCATGTTACTGCTTATATACACCAAATAAGTTTTAAAATTTATTGATATAAATTTTGGTGTACACAGTATTGCAACTGTGCCTGAGTGACTTTAAAATAGGAATATGGGTTAAAACAAGCTCATCTTTTATCTCTGTGGAGTCCTTTCTGGTTTTATTATGCTGTAAATTAGAGTCATCATGAAACAGTTTAGAAATACACATTAAGTCAACTTTGCTATTCAAGGTAATGGGAAATAGAGTGAAGGGGGATCCCAGATAAGTGAAAACCCAGCATGRTAAGTGTTGCAAATTGTGGCTCCACACAATCAGCTCAGGTCCAGCACTGCATCCAAGGAAGACAAACATCTCACGTGTAATCTGGTGGAGGAGGCAGAGCAGGGACACCAGAACTGTTCTGCAGCAGCCAGGTTGTTCTGGCAGTGTCTGGTTTAAGCCAGCACTGACAAATTCCACTGGACTTCCTATATCTGGGCTCAGTGGCTCTAGCTGTTGCCTGCATGAACAGAGGTGGTGTGCCAAGCAGTGCTGGAAGCAGACAGAGCTGTGTTGGTATATTGTGAGCTTAACAGGATTTTGGAGTCTGCCTGGCTCCACTGAGAGGTTGCTTTACCAGGTCTGAACTGTAACACTACTTGCAGTCTGTTACACAGAACTGTGCTGTGCTGTTATTTGAATAATTGTCCCACTTTTGTTATTAGGGATCTGTTCATTCTTACTCATTGCTGTGTAGAAATCTTATTTTGTATTCGAGTGTTAAAATTATGAGTCTTCAGTCCTTGCTTTCCATAAATTGATAGGCATGAGAAGAAGGAAGAAGGAATGAAAGCTCAAATAGGCTCTTTTCCCATGTTATGTAAAGGAAAAGTTTGCAGGAGCTCTGAGAGTTTTTTGTTTGTTTTTCAGGTGTATGGGGTGGTGAATTCAGTATCTTACGATCWCCTCAGTCAGTTGCTTTCCGGGATGGAAGTTGGCCGATTCCTGGAGAGCGGATCCCAGATGTTGCTGCGTTGACCATGGGCTTTTCTGTTGAAGAAGTACGTTCTAGATCTTGATTGTGAAATGCCTCTGAAATTACAGACCTGCTCACTCAACATGCAAACCTTCCTGTCATGTGCTGGAATATATAAGTATTGCCCTGTTTGTCTTGAGGAAGGCATGACTTGTCAGAGGTTCTTTCCAGGATAGAACTGTGTTGGTCATATGAGCAGCCAGAGGCTGTGCTAACTGGCTCATTTGAGTCACCAGCTGTAGAAGGAATCCAGCAGAAGCTTTCCAGGGCTGTTATTCAGTTCCTCTGAGACCCAGCTGTGTGCTGGATCCCCCCACCCATTGTCACAAAGTGAGAATCTATGGAACCACAGTTACAACTTGCATGCAAGTTCTCTGTAGGGCTCTGATCCTGWGTACTCTGGAGACTGAGAAATGGCTTGGCAAGGCAGGCATTTTGTCAGGTCAGCAAGCCTGTCTGCTGAGCAGAGTTAGAGCAAGTAGGTTASTAACTTAGTAAGTAATCCAAAGCCTTGGAAACATGATTTGTGGTAGTGTTTCTCCACATTAAGTATTCCAATACAACTTTACCAATGTTAAAGTGGGCCATGTGAGYAGGAGCCCTTGGATTGATTCCATCTTGCCTTCTGAATTTTTTGCTGGGCTTCAGCAGGGATGAATGGCTTTTGAGGCAGTAAATGAAAGTGTAATAGCCAGATATCTTCGGCARTGTCTGTGTGCAGCCAGATACTGAAATCTGCAGGCTGAAACATTCTCACAGTGCTGGTAAGGRCAGTCAGTTCTTTTTTCTTCCACATGTCAGTTAGAGAGGAGGTCTGATARGGCTGGATGGAATGTAAGGCTGCTTAGGCTGTGTTTTGGAATTCGAAAACACTTTGTTGTCAATAAATTCTGCTTTTTTTTGTTATCAAACTAGTGACAAACTTCTATGAGTAGTACCACTATGAGTAGTGCAACTCAWCTTCTGAGAGTAGTACAGCTAAGGARTAAATTTYGATTATTTTATGAAGAAAAGCTAATATATTGGATGGTRTTKTCTGTGGTAYCTATAAAACACTCAGCAAAACAGTGGGGTTTGGTCAGTTCTGGCCATTTGGCACACTGATCATCCAGCGATATGTCATGGTTATCATTGAAAGCATGAAAAAGCATTTCAGTACTTACTTTGTGCCTTTGCCACAGCTTGGGATTTTTTTGTTGTGATGGGTCTGTAGCATCCTTTAGAAATAGTTTTTTGTTAGTATAATTTCAGGTCCTAGAAGCAGGCAGGGAAGGAAGTTTTTGAATGATTATTTAGCTCAGCACTGGAATTGAAGGTTACTGAAAACACTGTCCCTAAGGCAGAGATCGCTGTGTAGGCAGCTTCCAGCCCTGGTAAGGAGAGTACTGCAGGGCCCAGGCACTCCTTTTGCAGTTCACATCCAAAGTGTAGTCTAGGACCATAAACTGACAGGGYAGTTGGAATTCTTACTGCATTACATTGGGAATTCTCGGTCATTCAGTATTCCTCCCTTGTTAAAGGAAAACAAAACTAAACTCCATTTTTGTCCCTGATGATGCTTTAAAAGGTTTTTATTTTGTTTCTGTGAGGTGATACAAATCATAATGTCARTGATATTTAATTCTAGAATGCAATTAAATCGGCTTTCATAAAAAGGGCAGTTATGTCATTTACACAAATGGGGAAATCTGTTCACCTTTATTCCAAACAGATGAATTTGTATTTTCTGCCTGAATAAACCAGTCAGGCAGGCTCCACTGTGCTTCTACTGGTTTGTAATTGTAGTAAGCTGCTAAGAACTCTTCTCATGTTTCTGTGCAAATTTGTGAATTTTAGTTTAGTTGCCTGTTGTTGTGATTGACACTTCCCTCTCTTCCCCTTCCTTTCCACTGTTTCTTTCTTGTACTGAAAAGATCAAGATGTTAGTGGGTATCTTAAGTTCAGCCTTSACTTATTAAATACAGACCAAAGTATTTATAATTCAGTTATGGGAAATAGCTCTTTATGTATCCATTATATATGAAGTTTTCTCAGTGTAGACTTTGCTGTGAAGTTAGTGGCAGTTTTTAAACTAACAGTTCCTTCRTGGTTGACTGGAGGCATTGCTCAGTATGAAAGCAGTCTAGTATTAACTTACTTCCCCATGACATTTCCAATAGATTGTCCTGCRCAGAAGTATTAACAGGRTGATAACTTGCTGYGTTGTAAYAGTGGGAAGAACTCYTTCCTTGTGAAATACAATTTTTATTGCTGTTTTGTWCTAGGACCTCCCCTGGCCTGGGCTGGGAGTGGGTGATCTGTTTCACCGACCACGAGCCACTGTGCTGGTGACAGTGAAGGGCGTGGACAAGTTGCCTGTGAAGGGGTTTTCCTACCCCATTGAGAATGTGAGTATCCACATTTGGAACTGTCTGATTCCTGGGACCCCTGTGGTCTAATGACRATACATGATTTTCTACTGTAGCCGCCGATGTTCACTTATTTCCTACTTCACTTGAAGTTTGCATATCCCCTAAAATTATGSATCAGGCTGTATAGGTCAAAAATACACTCAGGATTCCGTACAAGGTAGGAGACCTTTGAGATTCCCCAGGGCTTCRTGTGTTGCATTCAGTAACTTGTTTGACCAAAGCATCTTCTTCTTGAAAGACAGCTAATTTTAATGTTTGTACCAGTCCACCTCTTCCCATGGTAACTTCATATTTCATAGTCAGAATTATTATGKTTTTTGCTTCAACTGAGTGTGTGATAATATTTTGTATGGTGTTGATTTTTTTTATGTACTGTATTGGCCTCTTAAGTGGTCTTTTGAGTTTTTCTCAAGTGCTTGACTGTGAAATACAGCACTTAGAGACACCATTCCATTATACTGTATCAAGAAGAAATCAACAGAAGACAYCACATATCACCATCTGTCTTTGCTAAAGCTTCTCAGGCTTATTTACAGCAACACAGAATCTTTTAGGTTGGAAGGGAACTCTGGAAATTCTTTAATTTAACACCCAGATCAAGCAGGATCAGTCAGAGCAGGCTGACCAGCACTGTGTTCAGTCAGAATATGAGCATCTCCACAAATGGAGACTCCATGACCTATGGGCAACCTCTGCCAGTATTCAACCACCCTTGGAGCAAAAAACTTCTTTCCTGTGTTCAGTAAAATTTCCTSGGTTTAAATTTATGCCGTTGCCTCTTCTGTCATAGGACACTTTAGTGAATGGAAGTGTGCCATTCTGCTTCTTTTTTTGATAAAGCCGACAAGTAAGTGTTCACAAAACCTAGCAGTGCTATTAGCTTGCCAGTAATGGCACTATACTGTGCTAGTATATCTTCCATTTTTAGCAGGTTTTTTTGTATGTCTCTTTTTTTGTTTCAGCAGTTGGTCTTTCTGCTGTTGTATTTTCACTCATCACCAGTTTTCTGGTGTATTTTCAAACCACCAGTTTTCTGTRGTTCATAACTTTCCATTTGCAACAAGAGTGCTTCCCCTGTTGCATTGTTTCTCTGTTTGTTGGTCTTGTTTTACTGATAAACAAAGCTATACTCTTAAGCCTAAATAAGCCTCTTAATTCAAGTCATGGTCTCTTGGAGTTCTTACGAATRTATTTTGTCTGCCATCTATACAAATAAAATGTCTGTTCCTAGATACACAGGTGATGTTTTGGTTTGCATATAGGTTCCAAAGTGATAATAAATAATGGGAAATGTGCTTGCCCTTTACTTTTCCAGACCTTTTTAGTTAAGATCAGTAGCCCTGCTATAACCCAGAAGTCTGACTAGACTTTGTTTTCCAGGCCGTTCCTTTCAGTCTGGACAGYGTTGCAAATGCCATTCATACTCTGTTCTCTGAGGAGACACCTGTGGTGTTACAGCTTGCCCCCAGTGAGGAGGTGAGTATTGCTTCAGTCCTGCTTCCAAATAGTGAAACCTCTTTCCACTTGCGTGGCTGGAGCAAAACCAATTGATAGCCTGAAATTTTGGATTGGAGATTGCAAGCATGATTGATTATTAGTGRGTGACTGGAGGAACTGAACCAGACCTCTGTTGTGAGTAACCAGTGGTTGTTCCTGCAGAGAGTGTACATGGTGGGCAAGGCCAACTCCGTGTTTGAGGATCTCTCTGTCACACTGCGCCAGCTGCGGAACCGCCTGTTCCAGGACAACTCCATCCTCAGCTCCCTCCCTCTCAACTCCCTCAGCAGGAACAACGAGGTAAAAAACCCAACCATCCATCAGTGGAAACTTAAGATTTATTTCCAACATTCTTACTTAGCTTGTGCTTTTCTTCTTTCCCACTTTTTCTTCCCTCTTTCTTTGCCTGAAAGAGCCCACTCCTGATTTTTGCTAACTGAATTAACTAAGTTCAAAGGTTTTTCTCTAAGTAACTTTATTGAAAAAGTTACTTCCCTCTAGCATCTTCTTAATATTGTAGCAGACAACTGCTATAAAATACTTGCAACAAAACAAGATTTCCCTAACTTGGGTTTCATCAARGGAGATACCTGTCTCTTTCTGCCTCTTCCCCCAGGTTGACTTGCTTTTCCTGTCAGAACTTCAAGTCCTACGTGATATTGCAAGCCTGGTAAGGTTTTTTGAATTGTTTTCCCCTGTCTTGTGTCACAAACTTCAGAGATCTTTAAAGGTAGAGGAGCCAYAGTCGTGAGATAGAACAACTTGGTTTTGTCTTGCAGGCTAGAAATGCTGCAGTTAAAGCAGGTGGATAATGGGATTAAATTCCTTGTTTTCAGGGCCTGTTGTCTTGTGCAGGCAAATATCAGTGCTGCATTTTCTCACCTGTATGAGAGAAGCAAGAATGTCACTACCCTCCTTTGAGRTGATTTGGATTGTATTAGTTTATGACAGTGGGATTTTAAAGTACTTTTGTACATGGGCAGCACAAGGTAGCAGTTGCAACTGACTCGGCTTTGCAAAAGCCAGCTTCAAAGAAGGAAATTGTAGTATTTAAGTCTTGTAGCCATGCATTTTTCTTTTCTCCAAGTTTTATTTTATAGCTATTACAGAACAAGGATTTTGATGTCAATAAGTATAATATTTCTTTTTAGTACAGCTATTACGTGTATGTAACCTCATGTTAGGAACAGATGCTACATAATGATCATCTGCTTTCTTCTGTAGAGTTAAAAAAAGAAACAATTATGGACATCTTCTAGTTAAGTTGGCAAGAATTCAATTTCCTAATTAATATGGGATATGACTGTAAAAATTAGGAGGCTGGATTAGTCCCAGTAAATTGGTTTCATGTAATATGTTTTTAAAGTAAGCTGTCTTACTTTCTGAATTAATTTCTTTCTGCCCTCAATGGTGTGCCAAAGCTGTCTCGACACAAGCACTTAGCCAAAGATCACTCTCCAGACCTGTATTCCCTGGAACTGTCTGGTTTGGAAGAGGTTGGAAAACGGTATGGGGAAGACTCTCAGCAGTTCAAGGATGCCTCTCAAATTCTTGTAGACTCTTTGCAAAAGGTATATTGTCTACCTAATGAAAAAACTAATGATAATACTAAGAAAAWWWTTTTTTGTGTTAGCTACAAATGAATTAGTTGGCACTTCATGAGTGATGGTTTGCCTGATACTTGKTTTTGTTGTTTGGTTTTTAAAATGCTGTTGTTTAATTATAAAATCAAATGTTATAGTTTGCCTCTCTGGAGAGTGTTGACATGATTCTACAATGTGTTTAGATATTTTGCATAAAGGAGTAGGGGYGTATTGAAACCACATATCAACATGATTTGATATGTTTGTTTTTCTTAAACACTTTGCATTTGAAACCACCAATATGTCTCACAAAAACTGGCTCTTGGAAATGTGGAAATGTCTTTATTCCAGGGTGCAGTGGTTAGTTTATCCTTGCACACGAAGCTATGTAAATCTAAATTTCTGAGACTTTAACTACTCTTCATCCATCAGTGTGCTCAATAAAGTAATTTTTCAGCAGGTCTTATGTAATCATTAGTTAAATTTTTATCAAGATCAGTCACTTTTGAGAGTTTCCAAAGCTTGATCAAAAAATGCAAAAACATTTGTTAAGCCAAATACCTCTTTTCTCTAATCATTGCTCTTTGGCCTTTTTGGCTTTAAGCAAATATATTTAAATATTAGACATATTAGTGTTTGGACCAGATGAAAATATTCAGATTCATAGATTCCTGGTGGAAGTTTGAGAACCCAAATATTTTGTTGGAACTGACTGACACCAATTAGGAAAATATTTGGGAATGGGGCTTTTATAAAAGGTATAAAAGAATAAGTTTCAGCCCAGAAAGCAGGCATAAGCTACACTGTGCTGAACAGTGATTTGGGGTTTGAAAGATGCCTTGTAAACCAGGGGAAGGTTGGCACTTAATGAAATTCTAAAATAGTGTAAACTTTTGTAGCTTTCCATAATTATTCCTGAAGCTGCCATCTTATGTTTTAGTACATCTTGCTAACAAAACCCTGCTTAAGTCGTGGCTACAGTCTAGGCTTTTAATTAAATCACCTTTGCTTTTCCAGTTTGCTGATGAGATGTTCAATTTGTATGGTGGGAATGCAGTAGTAGAAGTGGTGGCTGTGAAGGAGTTTAACTCTGCCCTCTCAAGGAAGACTCGCTCCATTCTCCAGTCTTCACAGGTAGTAGAGGCACTTTTCTATACCTCAYTTATTAAAAGTGATCCAAATTGTATCAGTTCTCCTGCGTGTAACCTTTTTTAAGGATTAAAATACAATGACTTAGGTGTGGGTGCAACTTACTTACTTGTCTTGATCTTCACTTAATCATCAACTTCAGTTGAGGAGGGCTCTGGAGGTCATCCAGTCCAACCTACTGCTCAAAGCGGGACTAATTTAGGAGTTAAATCAGGTTGCTCAGGTTCTTTTTCTTGGAAGGTCCATGGCTGGGAGTCCCACAGCTTCTCTTGCCATAAAGCCTTAACCACTTTCATGGTAAAAACTTTTTCCTTTGTGCCTTGTTAGAATTTCCTTCTGTGCTGTCTCCCCAGTGCACCCAAGTCCTGCCTCCCAGCTGTGGGAAACATGTTTTCCTTGGCTTATTGGCATCCAGACCTAGCCCAGGATGCAGATGCCCTGTGGCATTTCAGAGGCACACTGCTGACTCCCATTCCTCTTGTCTGTTGTGAGCTGCAGTCCCTCTCTGCAGCTGCCCAGCTGGTCAGTCCTCAGCCTGTGCTGTCTCATGGGTTATTCTGTCCCAGCTGCAGGCCTTTGCATTTCATGAGGCTCCTGTCACCCTCTTCCTTTGGATTCCACTGATGCCAGTCACATCATCTCTTTAGCATTCTGTGCCCTTGCTTCACATTTTTCTAGACAAAAATTCATCTCTCCTATTTAGGTTGCTCAGACTTTGGATGGAGTCACAACGTGTGGTGTGCAAACTCACTTTAAAGTAATAAACATTTTCTTTATTGCAGCCTGAAAAAGAAAATCCATATAACCTTGCCTATCCGTATAACTACGACTACTCTGTCATCTTCAACATTATTCTGTGGATGATGATAGGTCTTGCTTTAGCTGTGATAGTTATCTCCTACAACCTCTGGAACATGGATCCTGGCTATGACAGCATTATTTATAGGATGACAAATCAGAAGATAAGAATGGATTGAACTGCACTGTATTTCAGCGTGGGAAGATGATGAAGAGCAAGGTCTCCTTTAACCTGTGTGGAAAACAAATATTCTGACATGGTTAATTGTGGAAGTTTTTTAAAGGTGTATTTATTTCTAAGTATTTTTTTCCCCTCTCAAGACTATTTTAAATGTTAGTAGTAGCATCAGAATGGGATTTAGAAGTTGAAATCTGCTTGTTTAAAAAATCAAAACAACACTCCCCAGAGTAATTGTTATTAAAGTAACATCATTCCATTTTTTTTATCATATAACATGAGTTTTTGAAATGCCCTGTACTGCCTGTGCAAACCAGATAAATTGAAATTACGATAGCATTTCAAACATGTTGTCTGAAACTTTAACACTGGAGGATTAGACATTATAGCTAAATCGTTGTGTTGTATATTATGAACCAGCTGTAAATGTTTGATGTAAATATTTATAATGGTTACATGTAACTTCAGAGAGGATGGTAAATATTCTTTAGTAAAATAGTTAATAGGGAAATATTTCTATCAGACTAGGACTCTAGTAGCACAAATGGCATTTTGATCTCATGTTGATGGCTCAGGTGAGCTGTACACAGAAGGATCACCCCAGAACTTAATGATTGGAAGGTCAATAACACTGCTGTGGCTGGTCTGTACAGTGGAGTCTGGAAATCCTGAAGTAGCACCAGTCTGGTCATGGTCTTACATCACGTACAGTTGAAAGTTCCTGTAATGATGCTTCATGTTCCTTCCATTTGTGTGGATGTTATAAAAAACCCAGTTCTTTTCAATGATAAGAGTGGACCAACACTTGATTTAAGTATACCTGGATTATAGTTCTGCTTCAATCGTTCAATAAAACAAAGAACAGTTGTTCTGGAATGCATTTATTCTTTGTGGCTTTGTAGATGTGGCTATTTCTGTTTAGTATTTGTTCAGCTGACCAGAGCAGGTGCTGGCAGCAGCTGATGTGTGACAGTGGGCCTAAGTCTGAAGTAGTTTAGTTTTAACTGTCCTTCAGAAGAAAGATTGTCTTGTGTAGATATTCCTAAATGAAATAATGAGTGTAGTTAAAACAACTGGTTGATCTCTGGATTGGGTCTTTTTTAGAACTACCTCCTTCTTAGAAATTCATTTGCTCTTTGGTAAAAGGACATCTTCCAGACTACAGCAACATGAATGGAAACTACTTTTTTTATCTTGTCCTCTAATATGCTTAACTTTACCTGCTATTAGGAGGTAATTATTCCACTTGCAGAAAAGTTGTTCTCACTGAATTAGTCTCATTTACTGGGAATGGCTGAATTGGTGGCATTGAAGTCATTCATGTCTTGGAGATCCTGGATAGTGATTAATATGAAATTGAGCAAATTGCAGGGTTGCCTGGGTCCAAGAAATCCAGTTTGGTATATGTTACAATCACTTGAAATTATTTTAATGGCATTTAAAGTTAATCTGGATGATTGATATCAGTAGATAGAAAGGAAGAGTTGCACTGGCAGTTTCTCTGACAGGAGTGTAATTATTGAACATTCTGTGAAACACCATAGCAGTCAAGGGAAGGCTCTCAGCCAGGTGTGAGAAGTAGGACACAGTGATTATGTCAATGATTATGAGTAGATTTATTGCTAATACAGTATCTAAATATTGTCAGTGCAGTATCTAAATAAAAAGTCTATTATCCATAGCAAGGTTTCAGAGGTTTGATCAGATTAATGGTCCACTTCCACTGGTACAGAGCTTTAGAGGAACTAGTTGTTTAAAGGGACTGTATGGTTAATGGTAAGCATTTAACAGCTGTATTTTAGTCAGTCTGAAGTTGGCAGTGTAGAATTTATTAAATTCAGGACCTGCCATTGAGATGGTCTCTGCCTGTCAGCTCCCAGCTGCTGATGTAGGTTCTTATTTTAGTTTTTAAAGCTGGTCTTAGACTACTTTGAAGGGCGAATCCAATTCCCACTTTGGTTAGTACTATTCCTTCTCATGGCTGTAGGCCTCCAGTCAGTACTAAAGGTGCTTTTGAGAACTGTCATGTGTGCTGTGTCTTAAATACCAAATCCTGTGTGCAACACAGGCAGCATTTTGAACACTCCAAAGCTACTGTACTTTAATTTGATTTAGGACATACTTTATTATGCAAAAATATTGGTCCATAACTGTTAATCAAACAGACAATTCCAATTCTGAGCCAGGAATAGCCATTTCATACTTAGAATTAAGTTAGTTAGAATGGAAGTGCCATCACTAGACCTACTCTTGATAGTTCTCTTTAAGAGAGCCTCAAGAATATAAATTGTAAAAATATTTATGTGATGTGGCAGAAATCATAGGGTTTGGGTTACAGAGCTACAAGGAAAGCAGCAAAACTGTCAGGTGGAGTTCTGTGAAGGAAGACAGCAGGGAGAAGCCAAGGCAGGAAGGGGATGCAAGGAAAATAACAGCTGGTATTGGAATCCTGCATCCCCAAAGTGAGAGGGGCAGGAGGGTGGGTCATTATGGAATATTTGGCAGCAAGCAGCTCTCTTTAGGCTGGGAAAGTCTCCCAGAGTGCTGTCAGTGGGATTTAGGATGTAACTGCTGCTGGAGTAGTGATCTGATCACCAAAGAGTTTTTGCTTGGGGAGTTTGGCCCCTGGCACAAAGGGTGACATGTATTTGATTTGGTCTTCTGACCTTGGTCTTGTCAGCATTTGGCTTGGGGTGTATTTAAGCTGTTCTCTGAAGAAGAGAATTCCAAGTCCAAATTGAAGACTGAGCATTGCTTTTGATACTTAGGTTGAAAAGAGAAAATAAGCCATAAAATAAATTGTTCTTCTAAGAGTCAGAATGCTTCTTTTTCTTAATAATGCCTCAAAGTCTAAACCTGGCAGAGGGAGGCATAATCCTTTGTGCCTTCCTCGACTTTCCAGACTTCTCTGTGGCAGGAATGGCAACTTTCAGAGTTCTTGCAGCTGTAGCAACACACAGGCAAGGGAAGCCTAAAGCAGATCTGCAATGTGTAAATGTTAAGTCTAAAAAAAGGAAGTGGAAATGAAGAAACATTGAAATGCAAATGTTGAGCAACCTGGCAAGTGATTGCTGGGATTTATAGGTCACCCTTCAAGGATCCAAGAAGCACCCTGCCAGAGTCTAGGTAAGGAGAGAARCATCTCTCTTAMAAAACAAAAATCTTCCAAAACAACRACATTTTGAATCCTATATTGATGCAATTTTTGGCTATGATGAAATGGGTGCTTTGCTAAAAGTCACAAATGTTCTCTAGAAAAGATTTTTTTTTTTTTTTTCAAGTGAGGGTTTGGGACTCTCCTGCATTTTTTTTTCTTTTCTGCAAGCTCTGAACCATATTCTTAGTAATTTTCATCTTTGTAGAAGCAGGGAGAGCATATGTACACAAAGTATTGCAGGACAGAAAAGAAGCCAGATGAAGGAAGAAAGAAGTGGAACTATATGATTTCAAATCTGTCAGAACAAAAGAAACTGGAAAAAATAGGGAACCCAGAAGTTTATKTCCTGTCCTGTTGTGCCACGAATGCAGAGTGTTGCTGTGGAAGAACTGAACTGCAAACAGCTCATGGTGTGAAATCACCACCCTGGTCTTTCTGCCCAGACTTGTGCAACGTGTCCTGCCTGCCCAGAGCTGAGGGACAGGGGACAGGAAGGTGAGGTGGCCTTGTTCCTCTCGAATAAACAGAGCAGAAACTGATGGATGACACAAAGCCAAGCATCCACACAGTCTGCTCCGGTGCCCTCTCCCATGTGAGCAGCTGGAAAAGCAGCTACAGATGGTGTCTGCGTGTGGCAGGCAGGAGATGGGGCTGTCTAAAACCAGGAATGCATGGGACTTCAGTGCTCTGGGAGTGTAGAGATTCTGCTGGATGTCTGTAACAATTATCAGGAATTATTTTCTAGAATAGGTCAAAAAGGCATGTATTGTCTATGTGGTGGCTGGGGACAGCATCTGGAATATAAATCCCATCCTTAAGTAGGGACCTGCCTTGCTAGTGTGCTTTCAGAGCTTGAAGAGATTCCTGTGTTGCTGAGGGATGGATTCACACTAAGGGACCCTGGCAATCAAATTTAGTATTGTCACCCAAAATTAACAAAAATACATAGCTCAATTCTTGGCATGAATACACATCATAAAATGTTTAAAATGTTTCATAAGGGKAACAAAAYTAATGGTTGCACAAAATGACAAAGRTAGTCAAATTCCACTTAATTATGCTCCAGTGCATGAATTTGTGATGACAAATTTACATGTCCTTAATCTAGTGAGCATATGCTTTTCATTAGGCCATGGGCAGAGAAGCAGTGCTCAGATAAATAAATTCACAGTATTTTAGCTGGTAGCTGATGTTCAGCACTGTAGAGTCACAGCCTTGAATGAGTTCAGTGCTGCCAATCTACTCACCTGATCACCCTCTGTATTTTAAATACTTCTTCACAATGCCATGGTCCAAGTACCCAAGCAACTGATATAAAAAAGTCTGATGCAATACCCGAGTGATCAGCCAGAGCATTTGGAATGCTGGAGAGCTAAATGGGAGCTCCAACCACACCCTACAGCAGGTGATCAATCTGAATACTCACTGTGGTACAGCATCAGCTTGGAAAGGAAAAAAAACAGCTCTCAACTATTTCTGTCACTTTTAGTCTCTGCTGTAGAAAAAAGAAAGAGGGTAAAAATACATAAAAACAGCTGTACCAATTCTTTTATGTGGGCCTATCCCAACATTTCTGCAGGCTGGCAGAGCCAAGAGGAGGCAGCTACATTCTGCTGTCACTGCTACCCACAGCAGAGCTGCCAACTCCAGAGGACCTGTGATTCCTTTGGAGACAGGTGAGTCTGAAGCACCTCTCCCCTCTGGTGAGTGTGCAGCTCTCCCCTCTGCAAATCCCCAGGGAGATGTGGCCCACGCTGTGATGGATGCCCTTGGGAGCAGGGAGGCTCTGCTCTGTGGCCGAATGGGGCCGTGTTTCCTGGGGAAGCCTGGTGGMACACAAATGGTAGCAACTCTGGATAACCTGACAGGAAAACGTGCCAGAAATAGGAAGTGCAATCAGCTGTCAGTCATGCAGAGAAGCAGATGGGGTGAGGAGGCTTAACTGGAAAAAGCACAAACTAAGATAAGCTTTCTCTATATATGAAATGGTTTTGGTCTCCTTCCTGCATGTTTGCATGCACACACACAGTGTTATATTGGTCTTTACAAATGAAATGTTGGGAGAAGTTTCCTCCCCTCAATGAAAACAGTACTTTTAATGAAAAGTGAAAATATTTTTAATTCCTTTCCATATTTTAAAGGAGATTAAAAAAAATAAAAAGTATGCTCAGTATTTGGTAAAAATGAGGATCTATAAACAGAAGATTAATAGGAATACACTCACCTGAAAAAAGATATTCAGGAAAAACATCTGCAGGAAAACTGTGCCCATACCACAATCATCCACAGGTGATGCTGACCAGAAGCTGTCTTGGATGGTGTTGCTTCTGGAGAAAAACAAAATAACCCATCAAAAATAAACACAAGTGATTCAGGAAAAAAAACAGCACACAAACAGCACTGTCAGAGCAAAACCCCCCCAGTGCCAGCCTTCAGCACAGGGGTCACTTTTGTTTTGCCTTTGTCCCTGAACTGCCATGTTTTATCCAAGGGGTTGGAAGAGTCAGCACTAAAGGGGATACAGAAGGAGTCAGAGGGACTGACCTCACCCTTTGCCAGGGCCCAAACAGCAGTGAAAAGCCTGAAACTTTAGAAAGTGGTTTCAGGGCAGTGCTCCCTCCAAGTCTGCCTCCCCTGCCATTCCAGGGCAGAGCTGGAGTCTCCTGTGCTCCTGGTGATGGGAAAACTGCCAGACAAACCACTCCATCACGGGACCATGGCTGTGAAAGCAGTCTCTGACAAGTCACAATTGGAGTCATGATCTTGTCATGAGAGCAGCTTCCTGTCTTGGACAGACTGTCCAGACCAAAACACCACAAACAGCCAGTCTGCATTTCAGTTCCTCCTCTGCTTCCTTTTCCCCCTTTTTTTTTTTTTTTTTTTTTTTTTTTTTTTTTTTTTTTTTTTTTTCTACCAGGAATCACCTTTATTTCTTCTTTCCACCCTGTGTTCGGCCACTTTCACATACAGACCCAATTCTTAAAAAATTCCACAGCTGCTGACATATTCAGACTGTTGGCAGTGGTGAAACAAGTCCTGCTTGCCATCATTTCCAGCACTGTGTAGGAGTAATTGGTTACTGTAGCCTAAATTAACTATTTGGCAGAGGGGCAAAAAAGTCTGAAAAGCGGAAATCTCTAAATACTGACRAATTCCTTTACAAATTTCCCTGTAACAAGCAGGTTAATCCTAGTTGGAAAATAAACACATATGTATGCTTAATTCCATTTTTTTTTTCTCTTCAAGCTCTTGCTCTCTGGTTTCTGGTTAAAATTTGGCTTTGGTCATGTTTCTGTTTTTCAAAGCATTGTAGCCTCTGCACTCCAATCCTTCAAAAAGTTCTTTATAATCCACATCTCTTGCAAGCRTTGGAGTAGCACAAATTGACAAGAATATTCTGATGGAATTAAGTATTAATGCATAGGACATTACTCTTCAGGACATGTC